GTAAAAGCAGGCAAAACAGTGGAAATGGCCTCATTGTATAGAGAAAGGCATGTTCTTACGTTCACAGTAGAAAAATGTTAGTATTTCTCAGGAACGCGAAAGAAACGGCTAAAATTGTCAAATTTTTACTTGTAAAAGGTCAAAGTACACAGAGATCCGTCAACGGAGCGCAGTAATAAAGCATTTCCTGAAGAAGTAACTTAATAAGGAAAGTTTCTTTATTGGTAAAATTCATATTCGGTGCTGACTTTCGTTGTGGACAGACACTTTTCTCGAAAATGAAGTTTGGTGTTTGAATGAGTCTTCAAATGTGACCTAAACGACCATCTTCGGGAAAAGAAGCGCCTGAATCCTCACTAATTCGGCAAATGCCTTCAAGAACAATCTTATTTTAAACTTCTCAACAGACAGGTAATTTAGATTCTGTCTTTATAAGCGATCGGGTGAAAACACTGAAAATCATGAAGTATTCAGCACAATTTCGAGGCCGATCTAGAACTCAACGTAATCTAAAACGAACGAGAAGTGTAAATTAATTTAACGGATGAAAAATTCTCTGTATAAACACAAAATGGTATGGTTACGATCATGCCTGTGAGTTCTATTTAAATTTATTAGGCACTGACCGGCCTCATGGCATGCCACCTTATGAAAACTTCTGTTCCTACGACGTCCCCATCGGTGAAATCAAGCAAAATCCAGCTTCTCTTGTTGAACCCCATCCCACTTACTTGGACCAAATTCAGAAAAACAGGAATCACTGTAAAAATGTTTTGGAACCTACACGCAGAATGTGGGCAGTTGACAAAACGCCATCTATGAAATCACAATGCTTACTAAACGAAAATTAGCTGCAAACTTCACTAAAGGACTGTTTTTAGACGCTATTTTATGTCTACTGTCATATTTACTACGTTTTCGGTAGGTGAATACATGTTATACATCTAAAAACGAGCTTTGCTTAATTCGACTCATTTCTGAGGTGTTCGGGATATTGCGAATTTCAAAATAAATCGGTATTTCTAAACAACGAAACACAGCATTTAATATTTCTTTTATGTTTTTAATTCTTTTAAACGTGTACTTAATTAACATAGAAATCGAACTTATGAAATGGTGTCGGTTTGTGAGTGATTGGCAATCATTCGTAAATTTCGACACATTTCATGAGTTAGGTCACGAACTGTACGGAAGAGCTCGTCGAAGATATTGTAATTCAGCAACCCTCTTTTCCATTTCACTGCAGTGCGTCCTAACGTGCCACCACTACCCTTATCTGCGACTGTCTCTGATGATGGTTTCGAGATCGAATCCGAAACGTCAGGCCAATAGATTTCTTGTCCCAGTGAACGCATTTTCTTCTTCTGAACTGCTTCCTGGAAATGGCCTGTTCGCTTCTATCAGCCCAACGGGTTGCTTGTTTTCTAAAGTTTAAGTTCGCCAAAGCCGAACTGCCTGTGCGACGCACTACCAGCTAACCCACAGTATAGCAGTTACCTTTTCGTCAGTTTTTTTCATAACTGCCGGTGCATTTGATCTGGTTAAGCAATAGTGAACTTGGGATCGGAGAACGCATACTGGCACTGTTAGGGCATTCTGTGATTCTTACTCTGAACATTAACAAATTAATCGAACTCAAAGTCTGCACAATTTATCGTTTTTTGCCAAAAGTGTCGCCACAAACAGGCGTTTGAAGTTAATTAGGATGGGCTGGATGCCGACTATTCGCAGGATAAAAATTTAATTTTATGCGGCCGGTAGGCCGCTGTTAACCCACTAATTATCGCTCTAAAAAGGCCTGGCTCTTCTATGTCAAAGCCCACGGCGACTTTCAGTTAGTTGCTCTTCTATAAAGTAAACATTTCTATAAAAAAAGGAGTACACTCATGCAAATTTGGTTCATCGTGATTTACTCGCATTCCCTGGAAACCCCATTTAAAATTCAAAAAATTGGCCCATTTCTGCGGGTATGATGACCATCCATTTACGCCTGTGATAATGCCGACCCCAAGCGTCAGTGATATACTCTTCTCAGAAGGCAGTGTCCGAAGAGAATTAAAGGCATTGAATGAATCGAAGTTGCCAGGACCGGACGAGATTCCACCCAAGCTTCTCGAGGAACTCGCCAATGAGTTTTCTGTGCCTTTCTCAATGCTCTTTCAAACGTCATCTGACACTGGAACACTTTCTATCGATTGGAAGCTGGCGTATATTACTCCCCTACACAAGGGAGGTAGCAGGGCATCGACGACAAATTACATGCCCATAAGCTTGACATGTATTATCTGCAAAGTTATGGAAAAGATCATAAAGAGTGAATTGATACATTTCCTGGAAGTTCACGGCCTGCTATCGAAATGCCAATAGGGGTTCCGGAAGGGAAGATCCTACACAACAAACTTGCAAGCAATCCGCATTGTAAAGAGGTTGGATTGCTGCCTAGCCTCCGAGGTCACCCGTTAAAACTGCGTACTCAGCAGGCGAGGCTGGATCTGCCGAAGTTCTCCTTCTCTGTTCGAGTGCAATGGAATGCACTTCCCGCAGATGTTGTAATGTCATCATCTATACAAGGCTTTAAAATGACTTTGACATTTTTATGTTCCAAAATGACCAAGAGCAATGAGAATTCGAGCTCACCTTCCTGTAACCCGTCCCCACTTTGTGCTGACATTATGGACTTGTTTGAACTATTTCAGCCCAGAACATTTTTTTTGTATTCGACACATTTTTTAAGCTGCAAATAGGGTACTCGCATTCCCTGGAATTTCCATTGAAAAGTCAAGAAAGTGGACACACTGTTGCACAGATGATGACCTTCCATTTTCGCTCGTGAGGCTGTCCGGCCGTCCTGGTGAACTCTTCACAAACAGAGACGAAAATATAAACAAACAGGAAAAATGGAGAATAAACGAGTACCGGGGCCATTTACTTGCTTTTATCAGATTTCAAACTCGTGCAGGTGTGGGCGGACAGAGTTGACTGCAGCGAGTGTTATGGGGGTGGGGGGGGGGGCGATGGCCCAATCCGTGCTGTAGGTATGAAAATGACTGTGCAGGGCTCTTTACGCGAGCGCCAGATAAATACATTGAGTACATCTCATCAGAGGTCCGGGTTTCGACCACTTATCGGCTTGGTTGGCTTCCGGCGTAAGCAGTTATCTCGGCTTCTGCGAAGTTAAGTTCATGAACAGCTTCGAGGGAACGGTATGCCACTTGTGATAATTCGCCATCCCATCGCATAGCCAATTCGTGCTCGTGTATGCACGACCCGTGGGGATGATTACTCTGACCTCCGTAATTGCAAGGACAGTTTGGACACCGGATAGGGTACACTAGGGCAGACTGCCCCCTGGGATTTAATCGCCCTTTGATTTTATGACCCTGTTGCACATGGACGATTTAGACTGGTGTGCAGCTCCAACATCTAGTCCCACGACAATACCCTTGGTCACTTCTTAAAATATAGCACAGCCTGGCATATCTCCGGTGGTGTTTCTGTATGGGTCCCTCGGGGCGAACACGTAGGCATCAGCTTATGAACGCCTTTGGACAGCCATACACACAAACCAGTCTCTGAGATATCAGAACTCAGCTGTGTTTTATTACGGATTGCTGCGTCGAGTATAAATCTGAGCTTAAAAAGTGTGCAGAAAAGCTACCGTTGGTTAACTCTTTGACTTGTGACGCTGCCCTAATAGTTTTATGTGGCTGGGACTGCCTGAAATCCTGCAAAACAGAAACACTAAAAACACAACTTAAGTCTGTGCTCGCTTCTGCCATTGAATGTCTTAAAATAATACATAAGATTTTAGAAATTCCGTCCCCTGCAAGGCATGGTTATTGGAAGCCCTTTCTTTTCGAAGACTGCTGCACCAAAGCCTCAGGAGAACACTCACCGGTACCAGAGGACGGTTTACGTTTCACCACTAGTTTATCCTCATGAAAAAGATGAAACGTCAACTCACTACAACGCCGGAGTTAGAAAAGCACCAAATGATCTTCTATACCGCTATCAAGGCACAGAAATCCGACAGATTGAGGCTCTCTGAGTATGATACATACATGATCCTTAATAACCCCAGGCACATTTAAGGCGTGAACTCGGTTTGTTGATTAAATGCAGCAGACAGTAGAAGCACACCTAAGATACAACAAAAGAAGGAAATTTTTTTAGTTTGCGGGTAAATGCGAGCAGCGGAGTGCGACGTGGTTCAAAATTAATAAATTACATAAACAGTTTAAGTTTATGTTCGTTTCAGCTATTGAATGTCTTAAAATAATACATAAGGTTTTAGAAATCCCGCGCCTTGCAAGGCTTAGTCCTCGGAAACTCTTTCCTTTCGAAGACTGCTGCATCAAAACCTCAAGAGAACACTCACCGGTACCAGAGCCAAGGTTAAAAAAACCACTAAGTGATCTTCTATACCGCTATCGTTCGACTTCTGTCGCCGAGCTTTGGTCCTGCAGCCCCACCTGAGTGAGTTTTTAAAAAAATCTTAATAAATGCGAATAAACCAACTTTAAAAATAGCACGTATTTGCATCTCCCTTACCATTTTGATCTAGCGAGTGACTGCCACAGGGGGGGAGGAGTGCTTATACGCCACCCTCGGTTATTTCATGTATCAGTTCACTCGCGCATCCCTACGCGCACTTCGAGCCCTGCTTGCATCCACTTCCCTTTCCTAATCCAACGAGTGGCTAAGCTAGGTATGTTATCTAACCTTGTTTTAGTAAGCTAACCATACGGTATCAAGCGAAAATGCGAGTTCCAGGAACTAGTTGATCAGAAGAAGAAGCGATCGCTGGAACAATGGCTTTATTCGCCTGACGTTTCGAACTCTCACTCGAATCCATCATCAGAGACAGTGGCAGAAAAGGGTGACTTGTGCACAGGAAGTTGCAGTATTTATAGGATGCAGTCGCTGTGTCACCGCATATCTATAGTAATTAACCGCGCTCCCCTTCATCAAGGATTGTTGCCCGCTGGTGCGCTAATTGCTTAATGGCCGGCATGCAAGTTGTTAATTGCTGACATCTCATCACCTGTGTTGGATGCTGGCGTGATGATTGCTCGGCCACCTGGCTCACGTGCTTGCGCGCTCCTCGAGTGGTCAATTGCTTTGGCCAGTCTATGCCTCAGGACAGAATGTGGAGTGGGGATGTCGTTGCACTTGTTGATAGACTGAGGTCCCGTGAACCATGACTCAAGCAACTCGCGGCCCACGCGATTATCCCCTCTCGCGAGAAATTCGGCCTCATCGAACTTGAATAAGTGGCCGGGTCTCGTCGAATGGGCCGCGACCTGAGAGTTGGCGTCATTTCTCCGTACAGCTGCCACGTGTTCGGCGATTCGCGTCCGAAGCAGTCTTCCAGTTTCTCCGACGCAGTTGCTTTGTCCGCAACTGCACCAGATCCGGTAAACGACTCCACATGTTTCTTGCCGTGGCAGTGGGTCTTTTGGTCTCATCACTTGACGCCTCATGGTGGCCTCCGGTCTGTGCGCAACTCCAACCCCAAGTGGTGCAAGAAGGCGGCTAACGGCCTCGGAGACGTTCTTGATGAACGGGATCGCTCGCCAGAATTTGGGGTCGGCGCGATTTTGTCGCTCGTCTCGTTTGCGCAGGCACTGGTTGACGAAGTTGCGCGGGTAACCGTTTTCTCGGAAAACCCGTCGAAGATATTGGGATTCGGCAACCTTGTTTTCCGGTTCACTGCAGTGCGTCTCAACACGCCAAAATAGCGTTCTTACGCAACTGCGTTTGTGGCAGATTGGGTGGTTACTGCTGAAGTTCAGAATTTGCGTCGTGTTCGTTGCTTTTCTGAACACTTTGGTCTTTAGGCCACCACAGACGAGGACATCAAGGAATGCCAGCTGGTTATTCTCTTCCTCCTCCATCGTGAATTGTATGTCCGGGAAGACGCTGTTGAGACGTTCTTTGAACGTAAGCACCTGATCCCGTTCGATGACGACGAAGGCATCGTCCACATACCGAGCCCAGAATTTCGGTCTGTGGTGTTGGAAGACCAGCGACTCCAACCGCTGTAGCACCGCCTCGGCGATGAATCCCGAAATCGGCGAGCCCATTGGTGTTCCCTTCACTTGCTCGTAGATTGTTCCGTCAAACGTGAAGTACGTCCTGAGACAGAACTTTAGGAGGTGAAGGACTTGGCATGTCCGAGACGATTCTCCGTTTCATCGTATTTGTTTCGTAGGAGTAGCTGGACGGTCTCGATTGCCAGATCCTGGGGGATAGAAGTAAAGAGGGACGTGACATCAAAAGACACCATGGCCTCATTGGGCAAGAGACTTACTCCTTTAAGCTTCTCCAGGAATTGCGTTGACGAACAGACCGTGGTGTCCGAATCAGCGGTCAGAAATTTGAGGCGCCGAAACAGCCATCTTGCCAGTCCGTACGTTGGAATGCCTTTGCGCGAAACAATGGGCCGGAGAGGAGCGCCCTCCTTGTGCACCTTTGGGAGACCATAGAATCGGGCCAAAGCCGTTTCTTGGGCTCTCGCCATGCGTCGGTCGGTCGCTGTTATTGCACCCGAGTTCTCCAGTGCCAACAGTGTTGCATTAATTTCGCGTGTCAGCGTTTTTATGGGGTTGGTTTCACATGGGACATAAAACTGGCGATCCTCCAGTAGGTTTTTGGCCTTCTGAAGGTAGTCTGTTCTGTCCAGTACGACGGTGGAACGTTCCTTGTCCGCGGGCACAATGACGATGTCCTTGTCGGCCTTGAGTTCTCTTAGTGCATCGCGTTCGACCTTTGTGAATGTTTCGCGCGGCTTGTGAGTAATAAGGAGGGACGTAACTTGGCGTCGGATAAGGTTCTTCGTCTCCTCCGCCGCTTCCGTCTGATTAATGACCGATTCCACTGCTGCAATCAAGTTGACAGGTTTGGCGTCAACTGTGTTGAATGAGGCTTTGTGCCGTAAAACCTGTGCTTGCTCCTTCGTCAGTTCCTTTGACGACAGGTTGTGTACCAGTGTGCCGCTTCTGGATGACGTTGGATCAGGCAGTTTGTGGAATTTGCTCCCCAGTGCTGCATCGCGTGTCGCTCTCTGCTCGTGGGCTCGTTCGCTGAAGCAGATTTGTGCCGTTCTCGCCCATGAACTCACAGCATCTGGCCTTTTCTTGGTCAATTCTCTGACGGTATTTGCGTAGTTTCGCATGGCAATCTTGAAGGAGCACGCGGATCATACGTCTTCCGTGCTGAAATTCTGCGCGTCTCGCTAGCTCCGTGTTTACCGGAGGTTTGTATGAAATATACTTCGGCAACACGTTGTTATCGAGACACCTGTGCAGAAGCGATCGCTTCTTCCTCTGATCGTACGGTATCAGTCAAGTGGGGCTACAGAACCAAACCTCGCCCTTCTGTCATATAAGGCACGTCTGAAAGCGTCTGCTATGCCAGAATCAGCAAACCACGGCCCTCGCAGCCTGGTATGTGCTGGCATTTCTCTGACTCCTGGTTCCCTGCCGGTAAATGCGCTTCCGCTCCCGCTGGGTATAGACAGGTTGTGCGCATGCCTGCCCACTCATTATCCTCACCCTTCTAACCCGACATGGTGTTGTTGTTGTTGTTAGCTAAAATCCCGATCACTTGTTATGCAGGCGAGGAGACGTGGAGTGAAGCGCCGAGGTGCGGGCTCAGCCGCGCCATCCACCTGCGTCCTCCGCTGCCTTCGATTTTCTTGACACCAGGATCAGGTGGGGAGAGGAGGAGAGAGTGCGGTAGATGATGCGCAAGTCTACATTCACTATAAACTAACTTCAACGCAAGTCACCGCGCCTGCTTCATCTTACTCTAGGGCACACGGAAGACATCGTCAGATACGACGGTCGGACTGTCATGTCATGTCAAGTGGGAACACCAACTGCTGGTGATGATGCCGAACTAGATGGGATTCAGATGGCGCACGAAAATACTTCTGAACGGTTAGAAGTATGTCTACTTAAAGATTCCGACGCAGATGCGCTTTGAGTGCGAACACCATGCAGACACTACGATGACTACAATTTACACACAGGTGCAGGACGTAATGTCACTAATGGGCCGACTGCTCGCCAGCAGAGGATATATATGTACATTTTCCCAGCCGTTAAACAGCATTTTGGCCCAACATCTGAATGGCAGCCTGTCCCCAATCAGTACCGACAACTGATGTTCCCACAATTTGGCTTGAATACTTCGTACTTTAAAGCGTAAAGCTACCTCATCTGGTAAAAACTCAACAATGCTGGTCCAGGTGATAGCGATGAAATCAGCCACTTAGCGGTCATAGGGAGTTGGCGCTCCATCTTGTTGAGGGCAACATTCGTGTCCTGAGAATAACTTAATGGCGGAACGTATAATGTCTGTGAGGCTTTCTGCTTGAGGCTTTTATGCCACAGTCACCTAAAGGAAAGAACCTCCAAGGATGCAGTATGTGTAAGGGAAGGGATGTTAAAAATCTCACGTATTACTCTTAAGAATTCAGTAGCATCAGCCAGCATAAACCTAAGTTATATCTTCTGTTCCTGTGTTTTGCAGTATTCCAGGCAGTCCCAGGCATATAAAAACTATTGACGTTGCACCACAAGGCAAAGGCTTCCTGACTTCCGAAAGATGCGAACGGGCGAGTTCCATTATACAATTCAGAAGAAAAAGAGGATGCGATCAGTGGAACAAAAAGTCTATAAGAACGACGTTTCGGATCCTTATTCGAAGGCATCATCAAAGAAAATCGCAGATAAGGGCCAAAATCCTCGTGCTAGGCTGCAATCGAATGAGCCGCGAGCTGCTCGGATCATGGTTCTCAGGCCCGCAATCCATCAACAAGCGCGGTGACCTCCCGTTACCACAATCGGTGGTGAGACATTCCCCGGGCAGGGGAATCAGTCACGTGGAGAGGGTGCGGGCGAGCAATAGTCCCGGTGACAGCGGGCCCAATGACCGAGTAATCCTCACGCCTACATCCAACACGGATGATGAGATTACGGCAGTTAACGACCTGGACGCGGACTGGCAAGTCATCATCGCCTCAATTCCGACTCTCAGCGATGATCACGAGAGCTTCTAGTTATAGTACACACGTGGTCTCATGTCAGCTACGTGCTATAAAAATGCAGTCTTTGTGCTTCCGCTACTCTTATCTACGACTGTATCTAATGGTGGGTTTCAGTGAGACTCCGATAAACTTCTTGTCTCAGTGATCACATCTTCTTCCTACTCTGGTTCCCGATTGGTTGTCCTCTAGCGGCAGGTATTCTGCACTCGACCTTTAGTATACTAATCCACTCCAAGTTCGCAGTTAATTGCTAAGTGAATTAAAAAACAAAAATTTGCAAATTGGAGTATCTACCAGAAAGCAGACAGGTAATGCTGGGGGACCCGCTGGCGAGCCGAACTCCTCGCAGCTGTGTCATGCAGCAGCATACTATCGGCAAAACACGCGCGTATGGGCTTTTGGCTATTACCTGTGCTGTTAGTATGGAATCATCTTACCCTAAAATGTACGGATATCTGTTGTGCCTAGGTACTGTGCTTACTCACAACGGCAATAATAACAAAGTTGATTCTCTCTAGCGGGGGAAGGCTCCAGAAGGCGGGCTTTACTGAGCGCCGAACCCGGAATTGCTGTCTCCGCCGGCAGTGGTCGCTGGTCAGACCCGGCCATGTACTGACGGTACAACGACTGAGAGTTATAGAGCGCGATGGAGAGGTGTCAGTTCCATCTTTTGTGGGTTTGAATGGAAAAGTCCATGTGTCCTCGTGTCCATGTGGTGGCCTGTGCTGCATTAGCTGAGGGTTGGCATGCTAGAGAGCACATGGAGGACATGCGACAACCCGAATCCACGCGTGTCGGTCAGACTGTAAGGTCAGACTGTGTCTGGAACCACCTGCTGGGAAAGAGAATGACCTTGACGCCAGACCTCGTAAAGATGGCTGCCAGCTACATGTCCAGCGAAAACAATTTTGACATGGGCAAATCAGTTGAGCCCCCGGTACTCGCGGGTGTCAGAGACCACAGTTACCTGAGAGTACTCTCTAAAAGCGCTTATAACCTTCCATTTTAGTGTTCAAACACCAAATATACCTTAATGTATCATCCTGAAATTTTTCAATATTATTTCGAAGTCGTTTTGAGACGTTACCCTTAAAGATATGAGTGAACATAACTGCATGTTTACTCTTACCAGGGTGAAAGCTAAGCAACTTACCTCTATATTCAGACATGCACATTTTCTTTCATACGGTATTCAAGCATTTCTGTTTCCTTATATCTTTTGTAGAACTTTCTTTCTAAGAAAAATCACATTTTATTGTTATTTTGTTGTGTTTACATTGATATCCATATTTTAAAATTGGTAAAGCGTTTTTTAAAATCTAAAATGCACTTTTACCGATGATACGGGCAAAGGTACGCTTTCGATTATTCGTCATCGCGCGTGTAGAGGAATATAAGTGACAGTAGAATAGCAAAGGTTAAACATCCAATAAAAGACAATATGAGGGAAGGGAGTTGAGAAGCATTCAAGGCTCAGTGGTCAGATTCTTGTTCCGTGTAGGGGTTTATGGAGGGGAAGTGGGGGGGGGGAAGGTGTCTAGCGATTAACTGTCCGTGTTTCGTCGCTGTACCGCGATGTGGCGGGTGCGAACACGTATGCTGGGTTTGTCATTGTCCAAGGGAACTTTCACTTGCTCCTTTGGGGCAGGTTATATTGGTCGAACAACTAGGCGTCTATCTAAGCGGATGTAAGGGCACCATCCTGCCTGGTGGGGAAAAGTCCATCTCTAGCGCAATTGTGGTTCACTTGGTTGACAGCGGCCACCGGACTGACGTCAAGCAAACATTCCGAGTCATCTACAAAGTGTCGGCGAAACACTCCAATTTCCTGCGTCAGCGAATACTTGAGACGGCAGAAGCAATGGCCATACGGTTAGCCAACCCAGACCTGTGCTCATATAAGGCGTCTGTACAGCGTACGCGTCCACATCCACCACGTCGCGGTACAGCGACGATACGCGTTCGTTGGCGAAACTGACACATTTCAAGATTACTTACCATCTGTACTTGCAGCGCAGGATCCATTCGATATATCTTCTGCTCTTGCTTTGACCAAATGAGCTGGCCGCCACTAATGCCAGTTAGACTTTAGTTCCCACCACGTGACCAGAAAATCTCTTCATTTTCAAAACTTTTGACCAAAAGAAGATAGGTGGACTTGATGGGGGGGGGGAGGAAACAGTTTTTAAGTGTAAGTAGAGGAAAGAAAAAGAGGAGAAGGCGAAGGACTGACTGACGTCTTCACAACGGCTGCATTTTCGATAATTTGACGGACTGGACAGGTGGAGCTGAGATTGATAGGCTGTCTGCAAGCCAAACCGAGATGCTGCTAGGACGACGGCAGTGAAACGTGTTCTCTACAATTTAGACTCGCGAGACAATGCTAAATGTTGAAGGTAGTTATGAAGGCGAGGGAAACTGAGAGAAGTGGGTTTGACAGGGAGAATAAAATAACCCCCTTGCCTTTCGCAAAGACAAAAAAGATCAGAAAAATCAAAAAAGAGAAGGATAGTTTTCATGCCCACTTCTTGGGACAAATTCCTTAATGAAAGCTTGGAAACACACCTACCATTTTAGGGTTAGGTGATACCATACTAGCAGCACAGATACTAGTCAAAAACCCATACACGCATGTTTTGCCGATATTCTGTCGCTGTATGGTGCAACTGCGAGGAGTTCGGCTAGTCAGTGGGTCCCCCAGCATTCCGCATCTTTTTTTCTGGTAGATACGCTAATTAAGAAACTGTCGCTTTTAAATTTCCTCAGATTTTATCTACGAACTTGGAGTAGATCAGTTTATTCAATGTCTCTGTCGATGAAACAGGCGTGTATGGGCTTTAGGCAATTACCTGTATTGTAAGTATGGTAGTACCTTACCCCAACGTATACTACTAACTGCCTGTCGGCAATTAATGTACATTACGCGGTTATTGGTTGTGGCTGATGGACTTCGGCCGAAATATTCGTGCATAAAATCTTCCGTCTGAGCCTTTAGACCTTAAAAGTACTGATCTACTCCAAGTTCGTAATAAATTTCTAAGGGAATTAAAAAGCAACGGATATCCGTACAGTCTGATGTGAATATTCAGCGAATAAAACCCGCGCGCCCCAGTGTACGAATT